GAACTGAATGTGTTAGGGTCTCACATGCTTTTTTCAAGACTTAAGATTTAACTGTTTTAAAATAACGTTAATACTTTAAGTCGCTTGAAAGCACATAGAACATTTAATTAAGGGAACTATCATAACATAGAATGCACAACAGAAATATTTATGGATCCCTGAGGAATCACACTCAATGAGTCCTACCACAGCTCACCGTCATTCTTTCACAAGATTTTGAAGAGGTAGTAAAATAATGTACCATCAAAAAATCCATATTTTAAATCTGTTTAAATATTAGCTCACTCTACCTAGAAACAGCAGGCAAGATCTCAAGTTACAAATTAACAAAAAGTGTCTCATAGAAAGTTCTTAAAAGGAAAAGGACTTTCAGAAGTTAACTCAAACTCTTTTCTAAAGATAAGCAAAGGCATAAAATAAGAAAACCATATAATATACTTTTACAAACCTACTCTAAATTAAAAGCAGTAAAGCTGCGATAAGATAGGTGAACTCTCAAAGAAAATAATAGAAACCAACGAGACAATTCCATCTGTTGGAGAGAAGAAATGCAAGAATGCCTGTACAGAAAGACATCTGACATCGCCAGAAGTGCTTTTTCTTTTTCCCTCCCCTCAACTTCTGGCACAAAAGGCATAGACGAAACCATTTTCTCAGTGACTGAAAAACTGGTCTCAATCAGACAGCGATGCTCATCATGACACCTTCCTTGGTTCTTGCAGCTTTACACAGCAATAATTCCACTTCAATCTCCAGTTTTAATACAATATGCTGAGAATAAGAGAAGTGGGAAATGGTAGATTGTTGTAAGATACATCATGAATAAAAGATTATTACAAACAGATTAGCCCACAGTGGAAAAGACACAGGCTAAGCAGGAGGCATGGATAATCTGGGTAAGTGCCATGGAAAAATAAATATCATGATTGGACTTAAAGCAAATGGAAGCAGTTCAAATTGGCTTCCTCCAATTCACTCCAGAACATGTGATGCCCACATGTCCATTTCCAACAAAACCTCACCATAAAGAAACAAAGGCCAATACTGTGAGCGTTTGAAAATGCATCTACTACCAGCTTCATCCACACCACAGCAACATGAATTATTGCAGCTGCCTGATAAGCATGCAAGAAAAGAGTTGGAGGGGGGCGGGCGTTCAGCTTTTTTGTTTTGTTTTTTTGGAAGAGAGCTACCAGCATTTATCTGCAGCATACCATCCTGTCAGTACCTGTCGACCTTGCAAAGAGCAAATTTCATACAACGCAGGTTGCAGTTTTACAATTAGTCTACAAGGCTCACTGCATAGCTGTGGCCACAGGCAGTGACTTCACTCAACCCACTTTCTCTGTCCATCTACGTGCTCCTACAACTTCTCTGGCTCAGTTCTAGCAGGTTTCTGTCTGGTTAACTTTTCAGAACATCAGTTCCTTTATCCAACTCCTTGTGAGGCCACAAAAACACTAGTGTTTGCTTAACAGAAAGGTCAGGAACTCCTGGCTAGGAATAGGCTGTCTCTATAAATCAGCAGCCCACACTTAAATTGATCATGAAAATCACAGCCTTGCAGCAATACGTGATCATGTCATTGTGTGAAAATAAGGAAAATTTGTGGTAAGGGTGGTCCTAGAGAAAGGACTTCAAAAAGCAGCCATTCTTAAAGGTTTAAGATTAGCTTTACGGCAAAGTGTTGTTAATCTACTTGTTAACAAAGCCAAATACCAGCAGTAGGTGCATTATGATCAAGTAAAAATTTTGCAGCTTAAAGGATCTTCCACCAGAAACAACTCTTTTACATGACAAATTTGAGATCACGGCTTGATTAGCAAACACAGAAGATATTTCAAAGGCACGTTACCTATTTTTACCAAAAACCAAATCACGACTGCTATAACAAAACAATGTCAATCTTTATGCTTCCATTCAGAGTAAAAAAAAAAAAAAAAAAAAAAAGAGGAATTTAGAAACAAACAGAAATAATAAAGACAGATATTGCATGAAAAGGAGAGACTGAGCAATGCAGTTAATGGTTTGAATTAAATTCAGACAGTGGTAGGACATAAATACTTTATCCGAACAGGACAGCATACATGCTGCAGTCAACAGGGGACACGGGAGTGCAGCTGTTAAAACATATCACTGCAGCTTCAGAGTAGGAGATTGCTTTAGAACCACACTGAAGCCCCCTTTAATTAGCTCCACTATAAATTCATAACTGCTCATCCCAGCAGAGCAATCAAAGGTAGACACAAACACTGTTAGCCACATTAACCCTGGCAGCTGCACTGACTGCTGCTATCAACATGCTTTTAGCCCTGCTGGGTGGGTTAGATTATCTAGGTCTGAGTGATTTTTGGACTTCTCAGGAAATTCCTTGCCATTTCTAGTGGCTGTATCGCCACGTTTTAGGGCAACCTTGAGGACATCTGTATTTTTTCCTCCTTTAGAACTACTTGAAAACACTCTTCCTTTGATGAAAACTCAAGAGAAAATACAGAAGTTTCACTTTTCATCATTAGCAAAAGCACAAAAGGACTCTGACACCAAATATGTGAGGCATTCCCTAATTCCGACATGAATAAAGCATTAGAACTTACTGGGCTGGCAAATGGTCTTGACCTTTGAGCCTCAAACCAAATTTGACAACTGCAGGTTCCGTTGAACTCAGATTTGTGGCAGAACCAAGTGAAATAGCATTGATGACACTTACAGAATCAAATATACTAAACCAGGAATACTTCAGAAAAAAAAAAAACAAACTGTTGTTCCCCCCCCCCCCCCAAAAGAAAAATAATATTTCTCCCCCCCTTGCACCCCCACACACACTTCTCATTCTTTCCCAGCTGAAACTAGTACAATTCTTTGGAGTAGCTAGAGTGTGGTTAAGCAGAGGAAGCTATGCTTGTTTGCATGGAATCTGCTATTTCCTCTCTGCCAAAACACTTGTTTAAAGAAGTCATGTAATATTTCTATTAAGCTGTAAACGCAGTAGACAAGGAAATGGCCTACTGGCAGTGCATTACCTTTGTGGCAGTGCCAACCAGCCTACAGCAAAATAGTGCACATGGTAATTTCAACATGCATTCCCAAGTAACAAAATTGTGCCTTACATAAATACCACAGAACTCCAGCAACATCTAGAAAAAGCAATGAAAATTTGCTGAAGCTTTCATGCTTGCCTGTATCAATTCTGTGTCATAACTAAAACAAAGTAGGAAAGCATCTACATATGTCCAAAAGTCCTGTGAAGCTATATCATATGACGCTGGGAAAACTATTGCAACTTAAATCTGTGTATTTCTTGTTAACCACTGTAAAAACTCACTAATAAAAATTAAGAAAAACTGTAGGTATCAAATATACAAAAGAGTACTAACTGCATACAAGCCCTTAAAAACCATAACGTAATTTATTAACAAGAACACATGTTCTATGTAATCCAGAATTGTTGTGTTAAATTACTTTGGCCTTTGATAGCATTCATTTGATTACAAGAATTATACAGATTCACAAGCTTTCAAACTCGGTGACCTTTGATTTATAAGCAGCTATTGTCATGCATATAAAAATCTTTTCTGATAATGTAGTCCTCACCTTTCAACAGTTAGTACAACTACATATAACGATGTTAAAATGAACTCAGTCGTAATTAAGGCATTTCCATTAAAAGCACAACCAAAAACCCCAGCATGATCAAATGTATTTAATTTGTAATCAGTAGTTCTTAAAAATATTTTAAATGTTATTTCATCTTAAATTAAGTTCCCATAAAAAACAAGCTTGAGAGATACTTTTGTTCTCAGCTTTTGTCTGAATATTTTCAGTTTGAACAGTAATTTTAAAATTGTGTACACAGAGGGGAAAAAAAAAAAAAAAACAAACAAGGTGCAGGAAAACTATGAAGCTCTGCTTCCAAAATTATGTAATGTTTCTAATTGCAAAACACTCACTAGCTTTAACCGAGCTGCACATTGCCATAAAACTTCAGGAAACATCTCTGCTCCAAAAAGCACACACAAACAAAAATCAAGAACCCAACAAACAAAAACATCAAGAACCCAATAACACTACATACACTTGAACTCACATATGCAACACCTTACAGTAATCATATATGAACAGTACCTTCTCTTTCAAGAGTGATGGCTTCCTTATATTAAGATCTTGATATATGAGGCACCACCAAAAGAAAACTGAATAATCTAGTATCCATGCCATTTTTGCAGCAAATCACAAAGATGAAAAAAAAAAAAAATCTGCTTTTAGCAATATAAAGTGCCTTATTAATATCAAATGGGCTTTAGATATAAACAATTCAAGAACGAAGTATTTATTGATGTTCAGTGCAATCAGTGTAGCTATTCTATAGCTCATATCAAAAAAATAAAAGCATGACTAACAGTGGCATCACTTGCTCCTAGATACATGTTGTTCACCATTAACTTCTCCAAGTAATTCCTTTATAACTGCTACTTCTCATAAAGTGACTAATTCTATTTAGATTTTATTTTGCAAAAGTAAACTAATTCAGTAACAGACTTTAAGAGTCAATAATAAATAAAAACTGTCAGGTGCTACTAATATTAGCAGTGGTCACATAGGACAATCCTGAATCCTTCTTTAGGTCGTCTTTACCTCAAAACTCCCTTTCAAAGGAGGATGGCCTCTTGGTTCTGGAACTCACCAAGTGCATGTACAGTATGGAATAGGCTCTATATGTTGCCTTCAAGTCAATTAAGCACTTATTGCTTTAGTTCTCTCTCAAGTGGAGTTAAAGCATTCTGAAACCTCACAGAGATGTGTTAAAACACCAGCAAAATGCAGTAAATAAGAAGCAAGACAGCAAGTAAAAATTCTTACTCTTAAAATCTTTGTCCCTAAATGTACAGTTTTATGATTCCAGTATTAGTTTCTTGAGGTTTGGTTGGGTTTTTTTTTGTTTGTTTGGCTTTGTTTTGTTTTTTTAATACAACAAACAAGAAAACACCACCACACACACTTACCCTCATTGGATGAATATCAGCATACGGAGGCTTTCCTTCAGCCATTTCTATTGAAGTGATACCAAGGGACCAGATGTCTGCCACGCAGTTATAGCCAATCTCTTGTATTACTTCAGGAGCCATCCAAAACGGAGTTCCTATAACAGTATTACGTTTTGCCATTGTATCCTGTAATTATATTATTTATGCAATTAAAACAGAGATATTTATTCTCAGATTCTTTTGATATTAATTCTATATTTAAAAGTTAAATTAGCCACCCAAAAGTCAAATGGTAGTGACTTCCAATTAAGACCAAACAGATTCAGTCCATCAGCCTACAGAGGCCAAACAGGTGACAAGGATAATAAACCTCAAACAAAAGTTTAAAGTGAGATTATCAGGCACTTGAAGTACACTGGGTTGTAAAATTAACAACTAAAAACTAAATAGCCCTACAATACATTAAATACTCATCATGATAAAGAATGCTATTTCTACCACTAGTCACTCCTCAGACACAAAATTCAAGGCAGAACAAAAAGATGAAAGTAAAAAAACATGGTTGGGAGCACTAAAGCATTTTTAAATTTTCTTTCCACAGGTACTTACTGTTAACTGGCCAGCCACACCAAAATCAGCTAATTTTGCATGTCCCTCGGTGTTAAGAAGGATGTTTCCAGCCTTTATATCTCTATGTATTTTTCTCATAAAGTGCAAGTATTCAAGTCCTTTAAGAGTAGATTTCAGAATAGTTGCAATTTCATCTTCTGTTAGCTGCAAGAAAACATAAAACCACTTTCAGGTGTATATATATATATATATATAGCATCTATGTATTCGAACTATTTAAAACATGATCATTTCATAATTATTATTATACATAATACAGACAATGTACCTTCAGTATTTTAACACCGGAATATGCCCAATAGCATTTACAATTCAAAACTCTGATCTACTAAATTGATCCGTATAGCTAGAGTCTTGCACATCTAGAGTCCAGTCAGAGCAAGCGAGCTGCAAAACGAGAGAAGGGGCTGACTGATACAGATCAGATGGCAGAATATGCAATATTCTCTTGCCTGTCAATCAAAAGTTACTACTCTTTAGATGTTGGTATCCTTCATAAAGACTGCTGCACAGTTTCTACAATATAAAACTAATAGATTTATCAGTAAGATCATACATATTAATTGCCAAGTTATGCATTACCTTTGTCAGAGCAAAGGTCATGGTGGTTGCAACTGGACTAGATGGCACATAAGAGAATACTTCCCTGGAAAAACAGATAGCCCTTTCTCTACTGTGGAAGGCTAGAGCTATTCCTCAAACATCCATGCCCTTGAGTTCTTTACACAGTTTCCCGAACAAACTAGCACAGTCCTACATTTGGAAACAGATGAAAGGAATGACGTGTTTTCTTTATTTCTCAAATTCCTACATATGAAATGCCTGCTAAGTCTGCAATTAGTAGTATCAATCTTTTGTCCACCAGCTATTTCCAATTGCCTTACTGTTAGTTTCTCATTGCTGGCAATTTACAAATTAGAGAGTACGAATTAAGAGTTTCTTCACAAGAACAAAACCAACACGGAACAAAAAGCAAGGGATAAGGGTGTACGGAAAATAGCCAAGTAATTATTTATCACAAAGCTTGCAAAAAATATATTCGTCAGGGATAGCTTGCTACTTATTATCTGTAGGGA